CAGACACATAGACTCAGAGAGAACTTAACAGCTTCAGATCACAACTTCAGCACAGGTCAAGAATAAACACAGAAACACAAAATCTCATTGGGCCAAATATTAAAGAGCTATTATCCTTCCCAATGGGCACGGAATTCTTAATTGATTTGAGCTAAAAAACAGACAAATAGAGAAATCAATTTAAAGGAAAAACAAGTCTAACAAACCAAATTCTCTTGTCATTTCTCACTCCTTAGACAGTAAATCTTTGTCATTCATTTACAGAGATCATCAGATAGTCAGACTATAAATTTAGATTCCTTATCATTGCCCTCACCAATGGGAAGTAACTTCTTAGTTAGCAGTGAACCAAAAACAAAATGCAAAATCAGAAGAGAGAAAAAAAGCTAGAGAAACAGAGCTAGCAAATGTTAAGTTCTACTGCTGCTTGGGATTCATCTTTGGGAGCCAGGAAAAGACCTGCTAGGAAAAAGTGCACTCCCCTCGCAATTCAGTTTATCTACCTCTCTGTTAGATGAATCCATTGGGCATCACACACAGGTAAGCAATCAGACATGCTGAAATTAATTTACAAATAGATATGAAACTGGACAATATCCACAGGATAATCTATTGTATTCTACTAGACAAAATTCATTTCTATGGACAAGAACCGTTTGTATTCCTGTAAGTTTTCTACAATTTACAGAGTAGTAAAATAGCTCAAAGACAGTGAAAAGCACAGACTCCTGTAGAATCAGATAACTCAGAAAGGTATACTGCACAGGACAGAACAATCCAGGCAGCAGCCTTATCCAGCACTTGACCTCCTGGCCAACTGAGACACAAGAGGAGCAGGCAGCCCCTAATCTTTCAACATTCCAACTGGAACTTGGTTCTTGGAGCAGGTGTGGAGGAAAAGAGTCTGTTAAAGAGTAAAAATGCATACTCTGTTAAAAGTAAAAACAGATTTATTGAAGGCTCAAAGCAGTTCTAGCCGGGGATACGTTAGATCTAACAAACAGAAACCAAACATTCCCCCGAGGTGAAGGCAAGCGGATGCATTTCTATGGTAAAATCAGGGAGTTACAAGGTTTTCTGATTGGTTTTCACACATTTAGGGAAATAAGAGGTGGGACAACTCGAAGCGGAGATCTTAATATGATTGGTTTGAAACATACATGTGCCTCTTAGATTGGTTAATTGCAGAAATACGTGACTAAAGGGGGGTTTACAGGTTGGTCACAAAACAATCACAGGACATTCTTTCCTGAGAACATTCCGTTAAGACAACATTTTTAACTTTCCCAGAGAGTTGCTTGTGCAGGAGATCTCTGATAAGGGGCTTGCGCCAAGACCCTCCTCAGGACAATTCTTTTTCACATCCTTAGCTTAACCACAAACAGAAACATTTCCTCAGCTGCATGATTAAATCTGTTCAAAGGTTAATGGTTGCTGGGAAGCAAGCAGAAGTTAAGGTTCATATTAAGATGGAGTCGGAGCTCAGACCTAAGCCGACCATTGTAGTCATGTCTGGGGCTTCACTTTTGGAGTTTTCACACACCTGCATCACTAGCTCAGTGAGGCCTTTACTTGCTGTCTCACTTTCCTCCATGTAGCTTGTGACTCACCTGAGGACCGTCTCCGGGCCAGTCATTGCACAGCATGGAGGTGGAGCTTTGTGATAGGAGGAGGTTTGGATTGACAAAGGGATTTGTTACCCAGAATGACTTAGTAAGTTCTGGTTCCCTGAGCCTGATCACCAGGACTCCCCCTCCCCCAGCCCCAGAGTATTCCCAAGAGGTATCCATCCACACTGTCACAGCTGAGGCCAGAAAGGGTATCTGCTGTCTTAGCTGAGGCCCCATGCCCTATCCACAACAGTAACAATCCCACTGTTGGATAACTGAAAATCATCATTTGTCAGGTGATAAAATAAATACTGAATTTTATATGTGAGAGGCAGTTTAGGAGTGCAAGTGTGTAATGTATGAAAGGCTAGGTTCACGAAGGTTGAGGATCACTTACAACTGGAAAATGGAAAACAACCAACATCTATTGTGCTTCTGGGTTTGGCATGTTGCTTCATTTAATTGTATATTGTATTTGTGTGTATTAGCATTTTTGCTGGACCTCAACATGTGTTTTACTAAACTCAGTTTCCAAAAGGAGTTGTCAAGTTTTTATGAGCTGTTTTATTAACCACAGAAAATCTGGAAGTTTTCTTAAGGTTAATTGGTTAAGATAGGCTGGTTCTTGGCACTCTTTTTCGGTAAGACTTCTGTCTTTTCATTTCTAAATTAAGTAGAAGGTTATGGCTCAAGAAAAAACAAGTTCAAAATGCTACTGTGATACTAATCAGAACAATGTCTTCTTTAATTTGACTTTTGGCATTGTACCATATGCTTTATTAAATGTCAGGATTTAGACTGATCTTTGGGACACCTTTACAGAAAGCAAATAACAGCCTTGAAGCTTATAATAGAACAGTTGCAAATACACAAAACAACTGCTCTCTTTAGCTATGCATTTTGTTAACACTTTTCATTTTAGTAACCTTACTTCTGATAAAGAGTCTTCATTAGTCTTCTCAGCAGAAATAAGTGATATATCTGTCTTGACCTCATCACGCTTAGAACAAAACTTGAGGATGAATCTTCTTGAAAGCTCACATTTTGCCAGATACCACACAACACTCATCAAGCATGGCAAGATATGGTTACAAAACAATGGAAACATACCTGCTGTCTTAGGTCTACTTGTCTTCTACCTGAGTTTGTCTTACTGATTTGTCTCACTCGTCTGCAACTAGAAACTACCCTTCAGAACTAACACAGGTTAGCTCATTGCTGTACTAGGAAGCAGAGTGCCACTGAAAAAGGCAACATCTACCCTAATTTCCAGTCTCTTCATTTTCCTCTTGTTGTTGCATAATGAAATTAAATTATGCATTTGCTTCTGGATTTTGGTTATCCTTTTAGACAGTGTCTTTATCATCCACTATTTCCTTTGGAAGGCAACTGCAAAATATTCCATTATCTCATCAGTAAGATTTAATTTTCAACACAGGAATACCATGACAACTATGACTTTTGCCCAGCTCTAATACTGAACTTCTTGTGTCAGGAAGTGAACTGATGCTGGCTTCTCTTTGTCTTATTCCAAGTTTAGGCATGAGATTTTCCCTGCATTAGAAGGTTGTTGAGACCTGAAGCCTGGGAAGGTAAGATGCCAGCGTGAATACTGTCCATTTAGAACTATGGTTTAATGGAGTGCCTGGTGATTTAAGAGAATAAGTCTTTTCAGCTGTCCCGGTTTACAGTCTTGATGAACCCTTAAAGTTTGACCAAAACATGAAAAGTGGAAAATTTCTACAACTGGAGGACCCATTAATATAATCTATTTTAAAAAGTTTTATAAATATGATTTCATACTTACAACATTATTACCTAAAAAATGGGAAAATTGACATATACCCATTTTTATGTATAAGTGAAGTCTTTGTGTATACAAGTATATCATGTATATTTTTACACAAAAGAGCACAACATGATAGACTGTGAAACATATATACATATTTTTTGCTTGCAGTTTTATTTTTCCTTCCTGCTCTTTTTTTTTCTTTTTTGGTAATAGACTATTTTTCAGAGCAGTTTTAGATTTCCTCCTTGATAATTTTTTACGCAGGCTTTAGAGGAAGCAAAGACTTGTTAATATGGAGAAAGCAAAAAAACATTAAGAAAATAAAAACCACACTTTTTTACCTTAGGGCTCCAGTAAACCAAACAGCATTCTGTGGGTGTCTTTGCAGAAAGTCTTCATTGGAGAAGAGCAGCCAATGTGAGCACTCATAACAAAGGCCTTGTTTGTACTACTGTTGCTTACACTCTTCATCATTTGACGGGTTTCTTTCACTGCCTGTGCATTAGCTAGTTTCAGTACAGAAAATGTTCCAAAATTTCAGAGTGATTTACTTAAGCTAAAAAATTATAATCCTTCACAACAGAACCATAAGCAATACCCTAACTAATGACAGTTTGGATTATTCTCAATTGTAGACTTTTATCCATTTAAATTCAGGTGCATTCTGTAGTCCATTTCAGTATGTGAATTATCTGGTTAACAGTTAATCTTAAAAAATCTGACATGAGATTTTGCTTTTTAACTGGACTTAGATTATACTTACACACTTGAAGTGCTAATAATTATTGGTTTTAATGGGTTAATGTCATATGTAACAACAACAAATTTTTTACAAATTTGAACATTAGCTAAATATCTCTAGATACTATTAGGAATCTAATAAAATGCTTAGCATAATTACCTTTATGGCACTAGCTAATAACAGAGGCAAAGGTCATGAGCCAGACGTCCCTGAGTTCTTGGCTTATAAAAATCTGGTAGGGTTTTTGTAGGATTTTGGCCACCTTTAAGGAGCCCTGGTGGTGCAGTGGTTAAAGCATTCGGCTGCTAACTGAAAAGTCAGATATTCCAACCTACCAGGTGCTCCATGGGAGAAAGATATGGCAGTCTGCTTTCGTAAAAACTTACAGCCTTGGAAACCCTATAGGGTAGTTCTGCTCTGTCCTATAGGGTCGTTATGAGTTGGAATCGACTTGACAGCAGTGGATTGATGTTGGCCACCTTTATGTACTGTTATATACTGGACTACTAAAGGGATCTGAGCCCATGTTGGTACTTTATGTTTCTTGAACACTTATAACAATTTTTTTTTTTTTTTTTTTACCTTTTTCATGGGTTTCAGATTGAAGTTTGATTACCACAGTGTATTGTTCAAGTAGAAGTCATTTTGACACATGCCAAGATTAGTTTTTTTTTTTCCAGGATCGATCAGCCACAGAGTGAAGCAGAATTGCCACTGAATCTCCATTTGGTTAGGGAGCTTTTTTACAATATTCTAATTTGTTTCTTTAAAATATTCGATAGTAATAATCACACATTTATTGATCACCACGCTCTTAACTTTTTCTAGCTATAATTTTTCTTAGACATTTTATTGCCTGTAGTCTACCATTAGATATAAACATGGCCTTTCTACGGTGACTAATTTGTGTTTCACCCATATAGTATATTTCAGTATTCAAAGCACTTATAGACATTGTCTTATTTGATTCTGACAATAGCCCTATGAAATAGTTAAAACAGGTATTATTTTTTATCCATTCTTTTAAAAAATATTTTATTTTTTTGTTGTTGAAAATATACACGGCAGAACATACACCAATTCAGCCATTTCTACATGTATAATTCAGTGACATTGATTACATTCTTCAAGTTGTGCAACCCTTCTTACCCTCCTTTTCTGAATTGTTCCTGCCCACTTAACTCACTGCCCTCTAAACTTCCTGTCTAACCTTTCAAGTTGCTGTTGTCAATTTAATCTCATGTAGACAGTTCTTTAAAAGAACACAGTACTCAAGGCAGTTATTCTTTACTAATTAAGCTAGACTATTGTTTGGTTTTAAGAAGACTTCAGGGGATATTTTTGTTTTAAGGATTAAAATTTAAAGATTATATCAGGGCAATAGTTTTGGGTGTTCATCTAGCCTCAGTGGTTCCAGAAAGTCTGGATTCCATAAGAATTTGAAATTCTGTTCCACATTTTCCCCTTTTTTTGGTCAGGATTCTTCTATAGAATCTTAGATCAAAATGTTCAGTAGTGGTAGCTGGGCACCATCCAAAAACAGGTGTTATTTTGATTTTACAGAGTCTTAGCTTAGAAGGGCCCAGTTAAGTGCTAGACTGCTAACTGAAAAGTAAACCCTATGGAGCACGGTTCTACTTTGCAACACATGGGATCACCATGAGTCGGAGTTGACTTGATGGCAGCTGGTTAGGTTTTTTGGCTTTAGAGCGCTTAAATGACTTTCCAAAGGTCACACAGACAACAAGCATGAGAATGGGGTCAAGAAACCAGGTTTTTTCTGGATCCCGGGCCAGTACTCTTTCATGAAGTTAAATGGCACTGTTTTTACATCACTAAAAAACTTGGTTTTTTAATCCATGCTAAAGGTTTCTAACATTGTAACTACTTACCTTGAATGCTGTAGAATCTAATTAATTTATTTCATGACAATTGTATCACACATAGTTTCCGTGTTTAGGGACAGATTGTTGGTGGTATTCAGCCAGAAAATCAACACATACAACTTGGATTCTGAGTTTTAGAATTCCTCAGCTAGCTGAGCATTTGTACCTATTTCAGCATTCATCTTTTAAATCCAGGAAAATAGGCATGATCCCTTAGTGCTTGGTATTGACCTCACTGGGTGACCCAACTGTTTGCTCCTCGGCAGTCTTTACAGAAGTGAGGTCCAGAAATAATTTGTAAGAGAGTTACATAAAGACTGAAAACTACTTAGTTCTGCATAAAATGCTGGTGCAACACCTGACCTTTCTGTGTTTTGCTTCAACTAGGACTACCAGTTGTCTGTCTATAGCCACTTAATTCACCCTTATTTACCTCTAAAGTAGTTGATTAACTATGTTTGCCTGAAATTTGCTATTTGTGTGGTAACTGACGTCAGAACATTTTCGTAAATGAGTTGGAGCTTTAAGAGTGGAATCCTTGTACATACTCATCGGTTGGCAGCTTTACTTTTTTTGTGTAACATATCTGAAAATTTGCAATTCATTTTTAGGTTAGCCAGTCCTACTTCTTGGGTAACAACCTAATATTTAAATTTTTCTTTGCCTTTTTAAAATTCTGTTTGACTAGTTAAAAAAAATAAGATATGTAGAATATTTTGCTTGATTTGCTTTACTGAAAAATACCATTGGGTTTTTACTTTCCAACAAGAACACTCCTAACACTGTGTTTGCTTTGCCCCAGCTGCGAGACAATAGAACACCCTAGTGTTGATTGGTTCCCTTTATCTGGTTTTTTTCTGTTTGCTTAAATCCTGATCTCTCCGCTTAGCTTTTATTTGTGCTATTCCCTTGACTTCCTCCAACTCAAAGTATTTATTATCTAGATAAAACATTTCTAGTTAGTTACATCAGCTAGTGAAGTGCAATCTTAACTAGGCTTTAACAGCCTTAAGGAATCAGGGTAATGAGTTCATAGTTTTTCTTAAAGCAAATCTTCCTTATCAAGAAGAATTACACTGTATCTCAGGATTACTCTCTTTAGGACTCTGGTTCTCTTTTCAAGAAGGGAAACTGAACCCCATTTTAGCATTACTTCAGACATTGAGACTTGTTTTAAAATTATGACAGGAATTTCTTTCAGTGACTAAAACTTTTCTTTAAAAACCTATAGAAATCACAAATAATTGTTACTTATTGAATT